AATGCCCTGAGTGAATTTCCTCAAATTTGGCACAAGTGTCCACTTGGGCCCAGAGATGAACTGATTAGATTTTGGTGGTCAAAGATAAAGATCAGTGACCTCACCTCTGTCCCGTTTCCGTGAATTTGACTCGTTGACAGAGGCATGCAGTTGTGAAGTGGTTATTCAGGTTTTATTATTAAAGCTACACTATGTAACTTAAGGTATCACTAGGGTGAAACTCCAATCAGTCCACTCTGCTCCACCCAGCGCTCCCTCTCCCTGCTCTACTATGATCTGCTGCACTCCACCACGTTCTTATTCAAGGAGTTTATTGTCAATTCACCATATGTGCAGGACATACAGAAAATCGAAATACCATTTCTCTCTCACCTAGTATTGGGTGCCATAACATTTAGGAATTAAAGTAGAATTAAGTAGAATAAACATAGAATAGAATAAGTACTGGATTAACGTAATTAGGATAAATCTAAACGTACAGCCAATAAGCTGTGACTCAAAACCATGTACAGTCAGTGACAGTAGTGCAAACCATAATAGGAGATTGTCAGATGGTTCAGCATCATCACCAGGGCGTTGACAGTACAGCCTCTGTACCACACAGTGATGCAGCCAGTGATGACGCTCTCAATGGTGCCCTGGTAGAAGGAGCACATGATGGGGGGTGGGGCACTGGCTCTCCTCAGTTTGTGAAGGAAGTAGAGGTGTGTTTGAGCTTTCTTGGTCAGTGATGTGGTGGTGTTGGTCCAGGAGAGGTCCTCAGAGATATGCACCCCCAGGAACTTGGTACTGCTCACTCTCTCCACTACAGCACCGTCGATGGTCAGTGGTGGATGCTTTAGAGGTTTTCTCCTGAAGTCCACAATGATCTCTAGTCTTCCCCACATTGAGGAAGAGGTTGTTGTCCTTACACCACTGGACCAGTTGGCACACCTCACTCCTGTAGTTGGCCTCATCAGTGTTGGTAATGAGGCCAACTACAGTCATGTCATCTGCAAACTTGACATTGTGGTTGGTGCTGTAGGTTGGCACACAGTCGTGGGTCAGCAGCGTGAAGAGCAATGGGCTGAGCACACACCCCTGTGGATCCCCTGTGCTCATCATGATGGTCTTGGAAATGTTGCTGCTGACCCGCACATTTTGTGGCCTCCCTGTTAGAAAGTCCAGCACCCAGTTGCAGAGAGAGGTTTTGAGTCCCAGGTGTCCAAGTATTGTTGTTTATTAGTTTCTTAAAAATTCAGTTTTATGTTAAGGTTGAATTGTTTGAATATTTTTATTACAATTTGCTTATTAGATTCTGTTCAGTATTTGATGATGTATAAAAAATAAAAAGTATGCCTCACAATTTGTTATAATTTTTGTCAAGGTTTTTGAGGTAATGTAGTGTTTTTGGTCACGTCAGAGCTGGTGAGTTAGTCGGCATCTGTTTGTCAGATCCCAGCAGCCTTTGGAGCGCTCCTGAACGTCCTCTTTATTTCTGCAGGTTCACAGATTAAAGAGGAGAGTGCTGAAGGGACAGAGTTATCTTCTGGAAGGACTGAAACAGAAACCAATGGATCCTCTAGAGAATTATTCACCAGCCAGGACTAGAAGTAGGCCTCATGTGTTTCTCCCTCTCTCCTTTAATCTCTCTATCATTCACATCTTTCTAAATTTCCCTAGAATTTGAGTTTCAAGCATCGTAAAATCATCTACTGTGATTAATGTTTGGATATTAGATGAGAACCTAAAACATGTTAATTACATTACATGCTATTTGAGGTTGGCACTGTGTTAGAGGGTGTCAAAGCAAACTTTCACAACTATAGCTGGCTGTTCACACACTGGAGTCATTGGATTAGCAGGTGTGTAATCTGAAGTAGAGTCTGGGAGTGTGCTCAAAACCTTTGTTTGATAGTTTTTTCACTGCCAAGATCTTTGTTGTTTGTACATGTATATGTTCACTTGCTATGTTCAAGGGTCAAAACTCTTGAAGTAATAATAATGATAATGGATGCTGTGTAATGTCATGTTGAGATTAGCAGTCATTTAAAAATAGTGTGTTTGTGTGTGTGAACACTGTCTTTTGGATTCTGGTTTAATGACCTGTCAGGACACAAAGAAATTGAGCTGAAAGGCTGCACCATTAACTCATCTTTTATTTCAGCTAAAGAGACTTCGGGCCACATGTGCAGTTAGAATTAAATTTTATTATAGTAGCTGTCACCAGTGTGTTCATAGCAGGCAGCCCGGTGGTTGGATGTGAGGAACTGTATGAATGTGAATCAGGGTGCTAATGAAAAACACAATTAGACTTCCCTCAATGAATAACCAAACATTTCATAAACAGATTTTAATTGTAGTTCAACAGCTAAAAGAGTTATAATATACATCTGCAATCACTAGTTATTGATACCTCACAAAAATATATTAAATAAGGATTAGATTTAATTAAAGTAATCTTTAACTTATAAAAGCTGTAAAACAAAATAATAAACAGATATAAAATAAACAGATTATTTCAAAAACATACTTTGTGAATAGTATATTTCATTAAAAGAAATTTCTAGTAAAAATATTATTGCATTCTAAAAAGTGAATGGAAAACATACTATAAGACAAAGCATAATTTAACAGATGTACAGTATAACAAAGTCATTTAAATTTAATTCGATTAACTGGTTTTATTGAAAGCTCTTTTTTCTGTAACATCATTGAGCTGCAAGTTCATAAAGAGAGAATAAATATGTGTTTAACTACAAACATTACTATACAAATATTTTGTTTTATTAATTTACTTATCACCTACAAAAGGACATTGCATTGACCAAAAAAAGATGTTATTTCATAATTGTGACTTGCCTTATACAGTACCTTTTACTTTCCCAGAGTTCAGCTGAAATGTTAGCACACCAACATGGTAGCATGCTAACATGTGTAGGGCTGAAAGTACCAGTAATTTTCATTACTGATTAATTTGCAGAAGACAGAAATAGAGATAAAAGATTCTTTTTGAAATGTCTGTCTGTTTGGAACTGGCTGAAGAAAGAATTATCTCAGCAGCCATACAAGAAATGTGACATACCCAAATTATATTCTGCTTGTTGCTCCCGACAGTAACATATTAGTATTGCTCCACGTTGATTCAAATGTTTTCTATCTGTGATGTTCAGTTTTAATTTGTCAGAGCTCGTGTAGATCTGAATGTGTCAGGCGTGTGTACAGACAATAAGATGACAGTAATCTGTAAATACCGTGAGTTTTTTTTTTTTACATATCAGATTTGAATGTGAATAATGCATAATGAAGCTTACCTTTGAAATAATAAAAGGGACAAAATAAACAAGCAAATAAACTCAAACATTTTCTGAAAGATGAGTGGACAAATGAATGACACTTTATATCATATTCAGTGATCTGTGTGAAATCACACATTGTAGCTCCTGATTAGTAAAACAGTAGCTAACGTTAGGAATTTAAACAAACAAACAAAAAAAAACTACTTTGTTTTTTTTGGTCCTCACTATATAGTAAGTACAAGAACACACACACACACACTTAAAATTAAAGTCCTCTGCAAATGGCTAACAATGCACTAATCAAAAGTGTTCTAACAGGCTGTGCAATAATACAACAACCATAACAACATAATAAATGATAGTAACATTCATTAAGATAATCATATCAGCCAACAAGATCATGCAGCAAAATCTTGTTTGTCATCTACAGTAATGTCACTTCAGGTCGTTGCAGTGGTCTTGGTCACAACCAGCTCAAGTGAGCGGAGAATACATACACAGAGCAGTAAGCATTTAATTATGTCAAATATAATTAAAATTAATCTGTGGAGGCCAATTCTTGCCAAGAAAAGAAAAATACTCAAGTATTTTTACTAAGCACATCAGGATTTTGACTTAATAATATAATTTTTATTTTGTGACAAGATTTTGATTTTTTCTTAATTAAAATATTTTTTATTAAGCAAATTTTGACCTAGTTATTTCCAAATCTGAATTTAATCTCATAACTTTGACTTTATCAGATATTAATGTATCTCATAATTTTTACTTACTACCTCAAAATGCCGATAGAGTCAAAATTATGAGATAAATGAATAAGTAACCTTTTAAGTGAGACTTTTTTGACTTCCTATTCCATAATTTTCATTATGTATCATAATTTTTACATAGTATCTCAAAATGTTGACTCGAAATGTTCTAATTGTGACCTACTATAATATACAATTAAACATTTTATTTACTATCATCATTTTTACTTTGTAATTTAAATTTAATTCAGTAGTTTGGCTTACTTAAGTTTTATTGTTTTTTTCATGTCTAAATTTTTATCTATATTGTTTTAGTTTTCTGTTAAAATGTACTCCCATGCTAATATAATCCCAGTGCTTTCAGAAGGGAACGACATCGTAACAAATCAAATGTTGTAAGGTTCATCAGTGTGAGCATGTTGCAAAAATTAGTAGCTGTATTTTAAAGTTCACATTTGTTAGGTGCATTAATGTGTGTATTGTTGTTTGTTCGTGTTTGTCTTTTTGTATGTGACTTTCCAATAATGTCAAACTTTTCGGTGCTATCAATAGATGTGTATACATTTGATAATGTTTTTATGGAATAATTCTGGCAAACTTTCTGTGACCCTGGTGTATTTTGGACACAGCTGTTTGCAATACATTTTTGTACATGTAAAAAAAAAAAAAAAAAAAAAAGATTGATGTGCGTCAAAGGTGAAAACCACTCAATTTAAGGATTGACATAAATGGACAATTTAAATGTGGTCTTCACTGTCAGATTGTGATGTTTTGTGTGTATGTCAGCGGGGGAAAGGAGGACTTTATGGGTTTTATAGAATATTTGTGACTTTTAAAGTGAATTACAAAATTGCAGTGTTTTTTAGACTTTTTTCAGATCCAAAGACAAAAATAGTGTACTGAGTCATTGGTTGCTTTTTAGTTTTTTAGACATATTCTATCATAAATTATTTCAATTTATCTATTCCCAGGTGTCAGTTAAATTTAAACATTTATTAACAGTATATTCAGTCAGTAAACTCTAGTATCTTGAAATTAGAGATCTGGGATCAGGTAAAATAAAAAAACAAACTGTAGTTGCACCAAGACTGAAACCAAGATGCAATTATATACAGTATTAAAATGGGCTCAAAATTACAAGACTGGATCAGGTTCCAAAATTCTGAAATCAGGATCATAAATTTAATGATTTGAGATTAAAGGAAGACTAGATTGGGTACCCAGGCTTGGATCAGGCATAAAGTTCAAAGATTGGATACAAGACTGGACTGGGCACAAAATTAGATTGGACACAACATTTAGGAGATAATTAAGTAAGGGTCATGAGTTTAATATTTTTTATATAGGATTGGGTTCTATATATTGGTTCAAATATAAGATTAGATCAGGTTTAGATTGGGTACAAAACTGAACTTGATCCCAAATGGATCAGTGGAAAACCCACCCAAGGCTTGATGTTCAAAATGTATGTTCAGACAAAAAAAAAAATACTGTCAAGGTTTTTGTCTTGGAACAGACCAGAGAACTACAGCAATAGATCAGGACTATACAAAATCTAATTAGACTTAATATAGTTAATACCGTGGTTTATATAAACCATATCTTATGATAATGAGGAAACTAACAAACCTGACCAAACTATCAGCAACCACAGCTGCTCTCAACTTCTGATGATTGGGCTGACCTTGTTAACTTTTATTTCTGACATACAGAACTAACAAAAATAAAAAATAAACTTTTGTCTTGTGTACTGTTTTGTTTTGTTTTTGCTGTTACAGACATATCTTACTTGTAAGTATAGACTTTTCAGTACTTCAAAACCCGTGAGATGAAGCCAGAAAACTGGACAGAAAAAAACAGAAAAGAGAATTTCCATAATGCTAAAGTGCCAATGGATCAAATAATACAGAAGATCTGTGTCCCACACTGATGAGGTTTACCGGTAATGATCATTCGGTCCACATGTTCATGCTGTGAACACAACATTTGCAGAGCTCTCATCAAAACATGCAAATATAAAAAAAAAATGCAGAGCTATATATAGTAGATCTATATACTGTAAATGTATGGCAAAAATGTAGTTATGTACTGATGTTAGCTTTCATGGATTTTTTTTTTTTATTACATTGTGCAATTTTGGCAGCATGATTGTGAAGAAATTATAACATTTAGGTGTAAAATAAATGACATTTTTATGCAATAAAAGTTAAGAGAAAAAAACTATGCTTTTTGAAGTTATTTGTTTTAATTAATTTGTTGAAATTTGAAATCTTTGTTCTGCATATATAGTAGCACTGTTGTCTCACAGCAAGAAGGTTCCAGGTTCAAGCCCAGGCCGACCCGGGACCTTTCTGTGCAGAGTTTGCATGTCCTCCCTGTACCTGCATGGGTTCTTTCTGGGTACTCTGACTTCCTCCCACAGTCCAAAGACATGCAGCTTAAGTTGACTGGTGACTCTAAATTGCCTGTAGGACTGTGTGTGGTTGTCTGTCTCTTAATGTCAGCCCTGTGATAGACTGGCGACCTGTCCAGGGTGGACCCCGCCTCTCGCCCAGAAGAATAATCCAACCAATTTTAGGATTTTTTTCACATTGACATTTCTTTAATAATATTTTTCCAGATTTCTTTTTTATATTATCTAAATTTTTCTAAATACAAACCTGTTTCAGGACAAATTTCAGAATAGGCCAAACCACACTGAGACAAATAGATTGGCTTCTTCTGTTGGCTTTTTGAGCATTTTAAAACCAAAATTTGAAGAAAATTGTGTTAAAATACTGTTTTGGAGGATCCTCTCGTTTTCCTTCTTTGCCACCTCTGCTCCTCACATTCAGGCCTTTAGGAGAGAAGTGGCAGTTCATCAGCAGCCTGGATCTGGGTCTGGGTCTGATGCATCTCCCTCTCAGAGCACGGACACTATTCAGCAGATATGAGGTCAGCAGGGTCACCTGATATTGGGGATATTTTGGCCCGTTGCTAAGGAGGGTAGCATTTAGCTGATGGTTCTGTTTGAGTCCTTTTTTCCATAGTCAGCATTGATTTTCATTTGGAGCAAAATGACCAATATTACATTACTGATATTCAGCCAGAAATGTGTAGATTTACCCCTCCACCTTCTAAAAGCAGCTACTCAGACAGTGTGTCAACTCAGCGTGTGATATGCACCCAGTGTTTTGGCCATGTCTCAGTACAACTTTGGTGCTGATATCTCAAGTTACATAAGATTAATTTTAAGAGGTGAAACATAACTCTGTTTTGGAGTTCAGTCTTGTGAATATCCCACATACAATCCTGCTGCCTCAAGTACTCACTAACAGTCCAAATGTGGATTCACCCACTGTTGAAAATAGTCCTAGTTCAACGTCAATGTCAAGGATCACTTACAAAATTGTGAAGATAACCTATAAAACCATTTGTATCATATTTGATACGTGAGGTTTCTGAGCAAAAAAAATCACCAAAAATGCCCCATGTATCAAATGTAATACAAAAGAAATAGAAATAATCTAAATAATATGGCACCTCTATTCCTATATGCCTGGACTCTCTGGCCTTTAAAAATCATGAATCTTGAATTTTGAATCATGAATTATATTTTGGATTTTGTTAAAAGGTTTAACATCTCAGTTCCAAAAAATTAGAATGTTCTGGCTATTTTTTGATGTGTCAGGCTTTACAGGGTTAAGATGGGGTCAAGAGTTTAGTATCTTATAGTCCATGACATGCTTGTCCTTGTTTTCTGACTTATCTACAATGGTGAATTATCATCTTAGACGTGACCTAAAGCTCAAAAAATGAGGTCTATGTATGTTCTAGTACTTGTATGCAGAAGTAACTCAGTTTATACAAGTCTCGCAAACTCTCGCTGGTGACTTTTTTCTAACAAAATTAAGTATTAGGTGATCGTTAAAGGATTTCCTTGAATGGGCATAATCTCCAGGGAATTGTATGTTCATATGAGTTTGCCTGACATCCACCGGTACCATTGTAAAAGCAGAATTTTTCGACTGCGCCCGTTTTTGTGGATATATTTTTACCTCCGGCTGCTGCACTGTGACCAGAGGATGTGGAGAACACAGGGCCTGAGGTTACTGCATGTCCGGGAATATTCCTGTACAGGGACCCCTGTTTTACCTGACCAGGTCTAACCTACAAACAGCCACATGTGAAGCACCCTGGCGTGGTGAATGATCAGCTCGTCAACACTGGATTCCCCCAGAGCATAGTACCCATTTGTTTTGACCGCTTGAGGCCAGTGTGTCTGCAGCATGTGATGTGTTGCTGGTTATCAACCAGATTAACATTCCATGATGTTATTGTAGGTGTTACACTACCTGTTGGAGTTAATTTCACTACTCTGGGACTGAGCGTGGCTGTGTGTGAGGAATGGTTCTGAATTGGATTAGAAGTTATTTGACACAGAGGCGTCAATTTGTGAAGTTGGGTGAATACCAATCGAGTGAGCTGGACATTGTATGTGGAGTGCCTCAGGGTTCTGTTTTGGGACCTAAATTATTTATATTATACATTAATGATATATGCAAGGTTTCTGATTTAGTGAAAGTGGTTTTGTTTGCTGATGACACTACCATATGGGCATCGGGTGAAAACCTACAGCAACTCTCTGGACGGGTTTCACAGGAACTTGAGAAGATAAAGAAATGGTGTGATAGTAATATACTATCTCTGAATTTGGATAAAACTAAATTTATGGTATTTGGGAATCGCAGACTAGACAATGAACTTCAATTGCAAATTGGGGGAGCTAATATCGAACGAGTACATGAAATTAAATTTCTAGGTGTCATAGTTGATGACAAATTCTCCTGGAAATCGCATATCAGATA